CATTCTGAAACTCCGGACCGTTGTTTTGATTGAATGTCAAGTGTTACACAGATTGTTATACCTATAAAGCAATGGATTATCCAAACTACCCCTCGTTCCTCATGCCCACACATCAAAGGCATACCGCGTCCGGTGTTTTGATTAACTGTCACGTGAGAGTGTATGTAACTTTATTTCGTCTACAACGGTCATTGGGGCGTCTAGCAAAGTGTCTGGGGATGTTGCAAAGTCTCTCGGTAATTACCTACCGGGTGCGCGAGTTAGGTGTATGTAAATATCTTGCGCTCGCTGTAATATTTTTGGAAACCCTAATTTTGGAGCCAACAGACAAAATTTGATTCAATTTTCACTCAGAAAATTTGTCTATTTTTGTCTCAGTCTTCTGAAGGAAAGTGCAGATGATAAACGGGGAACTATTTTGTGAATTTATGATAAAGAGAGGAAACTTGTGGTGAAAAGGTTAAATGATTGTACAACTGAACAGAGTGGGATAAGATCTAAAAAAAAAAGTTGTATGTTCATAGTGTATGTTAATATTTTTTTCCAAACTAACGGTACATTTTATATTTGTTTTCTATTGTGTGGGTCCCATATCAAATAACATGGGAGATGACTGCAACATTACTGATTGTATTTTCTTGTCTATTTAAATGCAAACGTTCAATTTGATTACTTAAAGTTAAATAAATTTGAGTGCCAACAAAATTTATGTTTTTATTTTCTATATTGCCCCACCCTCATTTCACAGTTTTTACTGTCTTTTTTAGTCCCCGTTCGGACGAAGTCCGAAAACGGGGACTTGTAATTTGGTATCCGTCCGTCCATTCGTCCGTCCATCCGTCCGTTTGTCCATCCGTCCGGAGTCACATCTCAGAATCCCTTGGGCCGATTCCGTTCATTCTTTGCATGTGCCTAGTACTTTATGTGGGATATATGTACATGCAGTGGTTTAGCGATTTGTTTCAAAATGGCCGACTGGCAGCCATCTTGTTTTTTGAAAATGTTGTATTTTGGACATGCTTTGTCAGTTTTTATTCAAATTTAGTACATAGATCATACATGTTAGGATACATGTCCCCGACCGTCCGTGAGTTCCTGAGTCTGTCCGTGAGTTCCTGAGTCCGTTCCTGAGTCCGTTCCTGAGTCCGTCCGTGAGTTCCTGAGTCCGTCCGTGAGTTCCTGAGTCCGTCCGTGAGTTCCTGAGTCCGTTCCTGAGTCCGTTCCTGAGTCCGTTCCTGAGTCCGTTCCTGAGTCCGTTCCTGAGTCCGTTCCTGAGTCCGTTCCTGAGTCCGTTCCTGAGTCCGTTCCTGAGTCTGTTCCTGAGTCCGTTCCTGAGTCTGTTCCTGAGTCCGTCCCTGAGTTCCTGAGTCTGTCCGTCCGTCCGTGAGTTCCTGAGTCTGTCCGTCCGTCCGTGAGTTCCTGAGTCTGTCCGTCCGTCCGTGATTTCCTGAGTCAGTCCGTCCTTCCGTGAGTTCCTGAGTCTGTCCGTCCGTCCGTGAGTTCCTGAGTCTGTCCGTCCGTCCGTGAGTTCCTGAGTCTGTCCGTCCGTCCGTGAGTTCCTGAGTCTGTCCGTCCGTCCGTGAGTTCCTGAGTCTGTCCGTCTGTCTGTGCGTCAGTCTGTCCAGAGTCATATTTCAGAATCCTGTGGACCGATTCTGCTCATTCTTTGCATGTGCCTAGTACCTTATGTGGGACATATGCACATGCAGTGGTTTAGTGATTCGATTCAAAATGGCTGACTGGCAGCCATCTTGTGTTTTGAAAATGGTATTTTGGACATGCTTTGTCAGACTTGGTACATAGATTATACTTGTCCATGACGATTTATTTTGCAATTGGATCAAAAATGGTCGACTGGCAGGCATCTTGTTGTTTTTTTATGCGGTATCTTGGACATGTCAGTTTTCATTCAAATTTTGCACATACATGTACTTTATACATGTTAGGATGCATGGCCATGACAATTTGTTTCAAAATCTGGTCAAGGATGGCAGATTGACAGCCATCTGACTTTTTGGCCTTACTACTATATTTCCAAAATTTATTTTCATTCGTATTTGGCACATACATCATACATATCAGTGTGTTTCATAATCAGATCAAAGATGGCCGAATAACGCCTGCTTTTATTTTTGGCCATATTACTACTACACAGAACACGTGTTTTGATGTAAATAAACAATCTGTTGTATACGCCACTTGGAACTCAAGTTTCAAGGACACGCTCGCGACAACCCCTCCGCTTTAATATGACAAGCACAAAGAGAACATAAAAAAATTTAATGGGGACTGTGTCATTTTCAATGACTTGTTTTTTTATAGAGGTGTTGGTGCCATGGAGATTGTTGCCATGGATATGAAGCTGCGAGGAATGTACATGGCTCGGCAGCTGAGTTTTGCAGGAGTAACGTTCAAAATAGACGAAATACCATTGAGTAAAGAGTTTGTCAAAATGTATGATAAAGCTGTGCAATTGGTGAGTAGATATGATGCTATAATGAGTTCCTGTGATTTAAATTCAAGAAAATTGTATGTAATATATTTCTGTATTCACGCTGTAATCATGGACATGATTCGTTTTATTTGTAAAGTTATTGTTGTGTTTTAATTTTATGAGAGACATGATTCATGTGTTTGGAAAATCACAATAGCTTCTAGCAGTGAAAATTTCATAAAAATTTCTTCAAATTAGTCAATTTAAGGACATAAGAAAATAAATGTGTTGTTCCAATATATGCACTCCAAAATCAGAACTGGTTGGATGGACCCCCCCCCCCCCCCATCAAACATTTGTTTGTATTAACCTTTTCATCACCAGTTCCATCTTTTCATCACAAATTCACAAAATAGTCTTGTTTATAGTCTGCACTTTTCTTCAGAAGATTGGGAAATTTTTTTGATTGAAAACTGCAAATTGACTCAAATTTTGTCTGTTGGCTCCAAAATTAGGGTTTATTTCCAGAAATATAAAAAAAAAGTGCAGAAAAATTTAGGCAAGAAAGTCTGATGGTAAAAAGGTGAAAAAACAGTCTTCCCAATTTGGTCAAAATTCTGGATAAATAAATTTTCATTCAAGTTTCCATGAAATATTGTGTACCGGTAATTAGGCACAATTTTTTCAAAAAGTTTATATAGACAATAAATGTTAGGGTTGGATCCGGTTATTGGAACCTCACATATTAATTTATTTGTGATTAACTTAAATATTCTGTGATGACATCAATATACTATTAACAAATCTGCTCTATTAGTATTTCATGCACTTACATAAATGTCAGAGATCCATCCAATGTTTGCTTTATGTGCTCTTATATTAAAGTCGATACATTATACAATAATCTTTGTTTTATTTTGCAGTGGGTTCTTGCCAGGGAGAAATTTCAGGATGCTGCAAGCCTAATAGATGCTGATCACCGCATGAAGAAAACCATGTGGGGTCAGTTTTGGTCAGCTCATCAAAGATTCTTTAAGTACTTGTGTATAGCATCTAAAGTGAAACAAGTTGTCAAAATAGGAAGAGAAGCTGTCAAGGATGGCAAGGTAACATTGTGACCACTGAGCTAAATGGATCATTTGGCTTTTACCCAGCCACCTGTCTACCTGTCGTTTTAGGCAGGCACTCCACATAGGAATAACAATTTGATTGAAAGAAAAAATTTCTACAAACCTGTCCAAGTTTGATTGAAAATTATCAGTAAATTGCAAAATAAACATGAATAATTAACAAACAGCTATAACCCTGTGTGTCACTTGTACCATGTGGTATACCATGCAGTATACCATGCAGCACTGCCGTACTCGTGCAGTGGTTCCACCATTTACAATGTGTCATTTGTAAGGAACGGTCATCACAGACGCCTTGAAAAACGCTTGGGAGGTGGTGGCTGATTTTATTTGCAGAACTTCAATTTCGCACTTGTTGCTATTATGAAATGTATGAAAGTAAATATACGGCATGTACAGTGAAATGTACATTACTAACATCAACAATATATCAATAGCTGCCAGGGCGTGCGAATACGAGAACCTAAGCCCCCTCCTCCCTGACATGTGACATTAAAGCGAGGTAGTCGTCACCTACGCATGCGTCAGGTACCCATTGTGTGTTATTGTTTACAAACAGGCGTCTACTCATGAGCCTTTGCATTCTTAGCGTGTGTTGTTGTCATCGTTTGGGACTTGATTCCCGTGCATGCACAGGTGACAGTCCTATCGCTTTGAAATCCTGTAGTGCATTAATAGTTGTTTATACACATTCAATTAGTGCAGGAGGGTCCCAACCTACAGGAAATAATGTTACTGGCTTCATTCTGTGAGAAAGGCTTGAGTCATCATACCAACACATCAATGTTTTTCGCATACACACATTTCCGTCTGTTTACACTTAACAAATACATCACATCACATCACCACAAGTGTTATTTGAGCTTTGGGTCTAACACTAACAGTATTTATATTTTTTAATCTAATCTAAACTCAGATTATTTTTTTTGTACTCAGTGCGTTGTAATAGGTTTACAATCGACCGGAGAAGCTCGAACGTTAGACGTATTAGAACAGGAAGGAGGAGAATTGAGTGATTTTGTATCCACTGCCAAGTAAGTAGTCCTTCAACACGTGTGCAGGGTTGGGTGGGCATGGCTAGTCTGTCAGTCAATTGTTGCCGGCAAATGGCTCGTTAAATCACCTGATTTACAAAGCTGTGTCACAATAACTTTACTAATACTATTGCAAAGTTTATCAAACTTGGTCACCTAATTCATCAGTATAAAATATTTCCTTAGTATGAAAGACAGATGTCCTGTGTGAAAATATCATACAAAAATTGAGAAAGTAGTAGTCAAAATCTGATAAAACATTTTGCCTGTTTCTACTTGACTGACCACTGGTGATACACATTCAAAGGTCACTGATACCAGGGGGAATCATTTATCTTTATATCAATATCATTGGTAATGTATCTCCCAAATCCCATGGGAATACTTGACTGGGTTTCAATCAAATCATGGAGAGGATAGTTACACAGCCTGACAAAGTCACGTGAGTTGCGCCCTCAGCAGTGTTCCAAACGCCTGACAGAACAATGTAGTTTATCACTTCCCCCAACGATTTTTTGTCAGTACCAATCAAATTGCAGGAACTTCAGATAGTGACAGCCATCAAAGAGTAACCATTCACGGCAGAGTTTATTTGTTTGTTGACATAATGTGTGATAAAGTGCTGGCAAATTTCCGCCTAATGTTTATCATGATTTTTGCAGACAATGCAAATACGACTTTGATTGGCAGTGTTACCATGACCACGAAAATTAAAATTGAAACTCAATGTAAGAAGGCGTGAACTTTGCGAATTTGCAGTATTGGTCATGTTGACGAGACATATACATAGGGCGATTGTGCCACTCGTGCCTACATGTCAAGCTAGATTAAAGTTTTTGAGTTGAGACGGACATGACAATTAAACTGATTTTTCTGTTTCAACAGGGGTGTATTTTCTGCCTTAATAGAAAGGCACTTCCCTGCCCCTGATAGACGTAAAACTGCTGATATATTTGGTATTGATATTGGACGTAGTGCAAGTAATAGTCCTGAACCTAAGGGAAATAAAAGAAAAGCCAGTGAGTATGACAATAATATTGACAAGAATGATATGCTATATAGGGTGACACAGTGAAATGTGAGCACAGGACGATCATATTGTAGCTAGCATGTTCCAACGACGTGCTTGACGGTAAATAAATGGTGAGGACAATTTTACATGGGGTGTCAGTATCTTTTGAGAAATTATTTCTTCACAAATACCATAGCATCTTGTGAACATTTCTAACAGTGAAAATTAAATGGTATACTCTCTATGAGCCATGAAGAGAAGGGATACTGTAAAATACTTTATTTTCACTTGGATTCTTTTTCCACTATTTTCGAAGAAGCGGATGAATCAGTGAAAATAAAATCCACCAGAAATACCATTTTTCCTATATTTTTCATTTAACTCGTCAAAAATCCGTGGAAATAAGCTTCATACTAAACATCCGAAATGTCTTCAGAGAAAATTAATTCCAGCTATTAAAAAATATAGTACTGTAAAAGGATTAATTATTCACTGGGTTTTTATTTTGCTGACTGGAAAATGCGCTAAATTAAAACCTAGTGAATATATAAAATTTAGCATAGAACACATTATCTAATATCTAAAATCGTGAATTTAAAACCCACTGAATATGCCTGAAATGGTAAATCAGCAAACTTTTTAACCCAGTGAAAATTAGTCATTTTACAGTATTTCACAGTAAGCCCTATGTTTGTAATGAATGATTGGCTCAGAATCACATGCTTAGTCACACTTGCCTAGGCTACAGAAGGTTGTAATAAATTAAGACAAAGTAATTTCAAGTATTCCTAATAACAGTGTTCCCAATTTTCAGCTAAGGCCAAAGTCAATAACACAAAAAGGATGAAGAAACCATTTACTCACGGGTTTTCCAGTGATGACAACTGTGATTCTGGTAAAGGTGCTAATCAATCAGATGATGATAATAGTGATGACAGCGATAGCTGGGATGAAAACATCACAGGATTCACTTCTAATGAAGAAGATGATTTCAATCCATTTAAAGATTCGGGTGATTCAGATGATGGTGAGTTATCATGGTTACAATAACACAGGCCATCTCTTGTTGCATTACAGCTCAGTCATTCTGAAATTTTGTAAACTGAATCAAAAATATATTGTAAATACCAATTGGATGAATCAGTGTACTGCATTTCTCTCAAGTTCTACAGAAAAATCTGTATAAGAAGGCCATATTCCTAATGGAAGTCGCACCCAATAACTGAATGACTGAGAACCAAAAAAACCCACATAATATTGTTTATAATTTTGATCAAGACCATTTAATTCAAAATTTTTATACAAATTTTAGAAAATTTTGACTGAGAATAATTATGTTGTTCAGAGAGTGAATGTTATTCATGTGAATTTGATCTAACGAGTAAGAATATAGAAAATTTAAAGTGCTGTTAACTCTATTACTACTAGTAATTAATTCTAAAACTAGTGAGTAAAAGATTCTTTTGAATGAATAATAAATGATGAAGAGTGAATAACAAGAAGAGGTGCCATGGAAACAATGACAGTTGTGGCCATTTTGAATTGAAAATCAAATATCATAGACCCTAGGAAAATACAACTGAGTACACCATGTTTCTTTAAGTAGTCTTTCAAACTGCCAGCCACAGAGAATAGCTTTCAAAATTTCTTTATTCCTGTGTTAAAACTAAAACATTGTAATGTTTCATTAACTTTTATTACCTTGCCTGTACCATCAAAGATAGAAGGAAAAGGTATATTAAGGGAAAAAAAGTTGTTCGGCACTGTTGTCGTTGTCGTCGTCGTTGTCGTTGTCGTCGTCGTCGTCGTTTTTGTCGTTAATAATTGTTATTGTGTGCATAATAACTTTACTAATTGTATTCCAAACTTCATCAAACTTGGTTACCTTATTCATCAGTATAAAGTCTTCCCTGAGTTTGAACAACAGATCTCTTGTATGAAAATATTGAGAAAATCTGATAAAATATTTGGACTGTTTCTACTTGACTGATCACTAGTGATATGCATCAAAGGTCACTGATCTCAGTGGAAATATGCATTGTTGTATGTGTTCAATGAAGCAAATCATTTATCTTGTAATAATATTGGTAATGTATTTCCCAAATCCCATGGGAATACTATTACTGGGTTTCAAAACCAACTCATGGAGAGATTTTTTGCACAGTCTGATACACATTTGCAAACCTACAAATAAAATCTTTACAGAAAACAAAATCAATATAAACACTCATATGAACTGAGTGCCAAACTTTGATCAAGATCTGAAGCTAATAGAAAATCTGTTTAGTTCAAAGTTATCAGATCAAAAACAATACATAAAAAATACATAAAAAGCAAAACGTTGCATCCACATTTTGAAAAGAAAATTGTACTAAAATATATGTATTCTGTATTTGACAGTTCATTCGACAAATGAAAATTCACAGGAATTTGTTTCAGCTATTAGAACAGAATGAAAGAATTTTTATAATACTAATTTAAAAACGCACTTCAAAAACAAAGATTGCAGTGTTTGAAGATCTTCTCTCTCCCCTGGACACCAACTAACTATTTAAGTTGATTTGCATACAAAGCAGAGCTTGCAACATGATAGCTATTCATAGAGGGTGTTTTTTTTTACTTTTCATATAATACAGTAGTCACACAATGAGGCAGTTCATATTTGTCTCAGTGAATCATTAATTTTTGACAGACACCTGTACAAAATACTTGGACAAAAGCCACCTAAGATTTTCTGTTATCTTGCATGTTTTATGAATCTATTCACGTCTAAATGCAGCACTTTTTTTTTTGCAATGAGGCATTTGTTTTTATACTAAAATATCTGAATTACTTTGAATAATGCTGGAAATTATGTCCCTTAAAATAATTAAACAAATTAGGCACCAATGTTTTTGTAAGATATTTACATCTTTTAAGGACATTCGGTAGACTGATTCCCCACTGTTGTTTCAACCCCCAAACTTGTTTGTATTCAAAATTAATTATGACAATGCATATTTATATTGAAACAAACTATGATAAAGGGAATAATATTATATAACCAAGGGCAAGGTCACCAGAGTTCAACTATGTTCTATTCTCGGGGTGGAGCTACGTCACAGAACATTCCATGATGCTAAGACCCACACCACTGTACCATGTATTTCTCTGGGCTCTGCTTGAGCTGATGTAGAACGCTGCTGAAAGAGCCGCTGAAAATAGCTCAAGGAAACAGCATTAACTCAGTAATACTGAGCACTGTTCAGAAGAATCTTAACAACTATCCCAAAGTACAATTTTCTGAGAGTTTTCGGCCTTTGTCTTCACCATGGTGGTTGCCAGGTAATGAAAATGCCCTGATGTCAACCTCTGAGGACATGATTATTGTGGACGTAAAATAGCCCATGTATTTTTCATTATGCCAATATAATTGTTAAATTGTCACCAGATCCCTGGCTCAAGGAGAGAAAGCCGAAATCTTCCAAACCGAAAACCAAAACTAAAAAGAGTACTACAAAAGTAGAACAAGACTATCCTGATGATATCTGTAGTAGCGTTTTACTTGCTGCGGGCTTAAAACCCAAACCATGGAACAAAAGTAACACCTCGTTATCATCGATGACTCGCACACCGAGCAGTAGCAGTCTTACAGGTAATTTTGTCAGTTGTTTTGTCACCGTGAACAAAATAAAACCACCTAACCTTATTTTTGCTATAATTTTGATCAAAACCTGCAGCTAATGGTAAATTATGTCCATTTGTCCAAAAATGTAAAAAAAAATTAGATTAGTATAGTACTAGACAAAGACTGTAAAATACTTTATTTTTGCTTGGAATTAATATTCGCTGTTTTCACTGAATCATTCCTTCAGTGAAAACAGCAAATATTAATTCCAAGCGAAATAAAATCCAGCGAATATAGTTTTTTTCCTATATTTTACATTCAATTTGTCAGAAATTGGTGAAAATAAATTCCATACAGAACACCCAAGAAGTTTTTTCAGCGAAAATTTATTCCAACTAAAATAAAATACAGTAGGGAGGATTTCATTTCACACCCTACTCTGTTTACATCATGTATTAAAATCATAGCTATTGTTTTCAGGTTTTCCTAACAGTCGGAGATAATATCAAGCAATATTTCAGAAAATTACCTCTCACTATTCATTTGAATGATTAATCCAATAGCTGGTCTAACATGCATATCTCTACAATGTGACATAATGCAGCCAAACTTTTTTTTTTTCATTGTACCCTCTGCCTGAAGGGTGACCTGAGTATCATAGTTCATATGTGTATTTTCGGAATTATTGTTTAAACCCTTAAAAAAAACTGTTGAAAGTTTAAAGAATCCATTCTCGAACAAGCAGAAACGACCATCTTGTGCACAAAGCCACAGGCGGTAATCACTAGTATCTGTCAACCTAAGAGAAACCATTGTGGGATTATATATAAATAGCATTCAATCTAAATTTCTATCTGTCTTTTCAAACTTCCAATCATTGTCTATCTTGCAGGTCTGTCATCCAGTAACAATACGTCAGCATTTCCAACGATGGATGCTATTGAAAGAGCACAATCAATGAAATTAGAATTGTTAGATACTTTAGAAGAAGTATCGGAAGATTTACCACCAAACACATTAGATGAATTGATAGATTTACTTGGAGGGCCAGAAAATGTAGCAGAGGTAAAGTATTTATTTTAATTATGACAAGAATTTAGTTTAGGTTATCTAACATATTATGATCCACAGTTCTGCAAATCCATATTTACAAAAGGTTAAATTTTTTCACCACTTTTAGTCCCTATTCGAACTAATTTGGTCTCTGTCTGTCCTTCCTTACATCCGTGTTCATATTTCAGAATCCTGTGGACCAAATCTGTTCATTCTTTGCATGTTACTGTTGTTACCTATCCTCCAGATGCCAAGTGGCACATAGGCCTTCACCGAACGTCTCCATTCTGTCCTATCA